CCCCCCCCCCCCCCTCCGCACCCCCCCTCCCTTGTTTCCTTCTCGCGGAACAAAAGTGGACACCCCGACCCAGCTCTCTCCTCCTCCTCGACTCTCTCCTCCCCTTTTGACTTGAAACATCTCTTTACCTGAGGAGAGGCAAGATGGAAAAACAGAGAGAGGTTCGAAGAGGACGCGAGCCGTTTCCATGTTTCCAACTCAAGTGACAACAAACAACAGAGAGTAATAGTGATTCCAACTTCTCCTCTCGCCTCCTCGTCTCCTTTTCTTGCTTCCCCTCTCCTCTCCTCTCCTCTCCTCTCTTTTGTGTATTGACCGAGCAAACACTTGAGACATATTAAAAGGATTACGGACGTTCAGCGTAAAACCACAACTCTCCCCTTCAGTAAGTAAGACGGGGAGGAGGTGGGGGGAGAAGGAGGGGGGGTGACGTCCATGAATAGGATGAAAAGCAATCATGGAGAACGACTAAAAACATGGGGTGTTTGGTTTTTTTTTTTATTAAAGTTGACGCAGACAAGACAATGACATCATTCTTTGTTCGACTTAACAAATTGACGACCTGTTAACCGCGCACTCGTGGCGAACAACTGCCTCCAAACACGGCCATTATGACGACTTTGTTGATTGATGTGATGGCCATTAATTAGACTGCGCAGTATCGGCCACGGCTAACACATAGAAACCGAGCACGCACTCACTCACATGCGCGCACGCGCACGCACGCACGTACTGTATAGTAAAGCAATGGGAATTCCATTCATTCTGGCGAAAAAAAAAAAACCAACTCTGGTCACTCCTGGCAGATGTCTTCAGACACTTTGTATAATTGTATCACTTCAAGTAATATATCTAGATTAATTAGTCTAAATAAGTGCTTTTTTTCTCAGAATTTAAATCATTTATTTTTGTTATGTGTTATGTATTTTTTAATGCTTTTTTTAAAGCACACCTAGAAACCTTAGTCTTGGCCAAAACCTCGATCTTGGACAGACGTCATTCGTGCAATATACGATAACCGTGTGACTTGCTGCTTTCATCAGTCTTGTGTCAGTCAATGTATGACAAAGTACAATGAACGACAAGTACTTTCTGCAGTTCCGGAATATTCTTCAATGTAATGTGGTACAAATGATTGACTGTCCAGCAAACTATGCTTAGTTTGTGTTGATTTAATACAATTTTATTTATATTTTTCTTATATATATATATATATATATATATATATATATATATATTATATAACAGTAACGTCAGGTTAGATGGGCCAAATATATCCAAATAATCATGTAATATAGTATATATTTTTGTATTAGTTATCTTATCTTAGTATCTTCTGCTGCAGTGTTTCCCAAACTTTCTTTTTCTGGGGGCCCATATTTTAAAAGTCACAAACTTTCGCGACCCAAGTCAACAGACATAAATCGTAAACTCCTGGGAAACATGATGCGAGACCACCCGCCCTAAAAAAAAATTCCTTGCGACCCACCTCAGGGTCGCGACCCAGTGTTTGAGAAACAATGTTCTACCTTTAACTCAAGGTTAACTAAACTGTAGTATCGTCACACTTAGCGTCTTTAACTCAAGCGCAGGCTGCGATGGAGACTTTTATTTTAGTACCCACAATCCCCCGTCATAGCAGATCTCACTACCGTACAGATCATCCTTTTCAATGTCGCTGCTATCCTCTTACACGTAACTGACACTTGAGCTTGATCGGCCCGCAGCCTATCTCTGGTCTGCAGCGACCATTACTTTAGCAAGCCTCACTTCCTCCTCGAAAATTCCCTGCGCTTTGGAATTCACGATTAGTCCTCCATATGTCTCTCTCTCTCTCTCTCTCTCTCTCTCTCACTCCGGTATACTCTCTTGTTTTCCTCTTTTATCAGCTAACCCTTCATACCACACACACTCCAGTCACTACGATGTTGCCCCCTCTCTTCTTTACAAACCTTACACACAACATGTCTTTGCACGACCCTTGTTTTTTTAATTAGGCAAAAAATGAAAAAAACCTTCTGTTTATTAGTGATTTTTAGAATTATTTCAGTATTAATTATTACTATAAATGTTACAAATTTTATGTTTTTTTTCAAATGACATGTATCTAATAACTACCATTACTCTAACTGTTCTTCCCACACAATAAATTGTCTTATCTACATACATTTTTCATGTAGCAGTTTCATTACGAAAGTGAATGCTCTACAGTTACTACAGTACTATTCATTTCTGACAATTAAAGATTAAATTAATTATTTTTTTAAAATATAAAGCCTAATTTGTATTAACTAATTTGTGAAGATTAATCTTAAAAAAAATTGATCACATGACAAAATGACGATCCAATACACGGTCGATACACACTGCTGTTATTCACAAGAAATGCGGCGATTTTAGATACCATCTCAACACCCGGCGTGTGTTTTTTCGGAAGCTTCAAGTTCAGGTCAGATGACCGATTTGTGTCAGACCTCCCTCAACCAAGTACAGGTCAGTCAGTCAGTCAGTAAGTAAGTCTTGGGCTGACACAACTGTCAAACGCACTGAGCGGGGGTGCGGATTGATTAATATCGTTGAGGATGACGACGACTCTTGAAGTGTTCTGGGGCTCACTTTCGGATTAGTCACAATAAAAAAAAAAACATTTTTAGAAATGTTGGTATATCTGGTTTCGTTTCATTCTTGACTAACCGTGATCGCAATTAATCATGATTAAATTTTAGTCATTTTTTTTTTGTCATTGTGATACGCACGTACGAGACCTCGAAACGTCCAGTGACCGTCCAAGAAATCCCACAAAACATCAGCTCGCAATTCTCAAATTCCTGAGAGCACGATGACCAAATGGCTCGATGCTGAATGAAGCAGCATGTGTGACATCTCTGACACACATGGTGTAAATTAGTCATTCCAAACCCACGGTGGTAGGATACCTGATGTGGGTCATAGATAATCCAAGGGCAAAGACATTTTTTTTTTTTTTACTCTTTTCCTGTTTTTTTGGGGAGGGGTGGAGGTTGGGGAGGGGGGTTCTTGCTCAATAGTCCAGATTCTATACAACAAAACACTTTTTGGAACTGTTTGATTTATAGTGACCTAAAATCTAACAAAAGATGTTCGATCAATCAATGGCGAGTCATTTTTTAAAAGTTAAGAGAAGAAGAGAGACATTAGACAGTGTAGGGTTAAAGTCTGACACAAGGAGATGGGACANGGGGATAAATTGAAAAAGCAGATAAGCCCTGGGTCCTTGTAGGAATTTTCAAAAAGGAAAGAAAAAGTGGGGATGGTGGAAAAGGGAGACACTGCATCATGTTCAGAGCTGTTGTGTTTCTTGTGCCAGTCCTCTTCAAAGAGGCGCTGGCTCTAATGACTTTACCATACCCTGCTCAGGGGGTTAGAACTGCAGCTGCAGTACCTGTGCGTGGCTGGAAAGGAACACTGGGGCTGCGCAGGCCTAACTTCAGCATGACAAACGTGCAGGGCAGCGTTAGACAGACAGTGGTCGCTTTCATTTTTAAATTGTGTGTAACGTCCGTGAGTTTTGATTGATACTTTGATTTTCGAGAGAGAAATGTAATTGGTGAACTGCATATGTGCATCTGCAGTTACTGTACATGATGAACATAAGCGTACTGTGATATCTGTACTGCAGTCGCAATTCAATAGAGATATTTCAACCAAAGCATCGATAATGCAACTGATATATATATACAGTAAATATATATACACAGTGATCCCTCTTCTATCGCGGTAGTTAGGTTCCAAGGAAAAATCGCAATATTATTTACGTACATATTTACCCTTTTACGAACCTCCCCCCACGCTGTTATCAACCCTCCCTAGACTGTATTACCATTTCCGACACTATTATATAATTGCACAGTAGAGTTGCAGAATGGCGACGCAGAGCGAAGTGAACGAAAGAGTGGCCGACGGACGACGGGAGATGCTGAGAGATCCTACGATGCATGAGCCAATCGGCCTGAGGAACAGAAGAGCATGCTCAATTAGCCAATAGCACACCGAGTACGCACTGTATTAGCCAATAGCATGCTGTGTATGAGCTCGTCTAGGTAAACAAAGCTAGCAGCGATCGTTCGCAAATGCGTTTTTCTCAGTTTCAAAATGACAATCAACATTTTTTTCAAGCCAAAACTTTTGTACGTATAATTATTTTATAATGTAGCGAAAATTTCGCGACATTTTTAAAAGAAATCTGCGATGAACCGAGGGTCCTAGACATAAGGATATTGTGTTTCCTCTCTTGCCCTTCGACCAAGAAGTAAACGGAGAAGCTGCTAAAAAAAAAATAAGCAGGAGAAAATAAATAAATTGTTAAAAAAATGATCAATGCTGTTAATGACTGGATATTGTACCAGTGTAATCGTACCATTGTTGCTTTCGTCGGTGTCATGACGGGTCGGTTTGGAAACCATCCGTCACAAACTGTAGCAAATTGTGACAACCGTTGCTCAATCAGTTTGGCTCCTGTGCTTTCATACACCGAAAGTGTCAAAAAATGGCAATGTAGAGCATGGTTCATCCATGTCCTGCTGCATTATCGCATCTTCCATAGATTGACAGCACCCAGATTTGGCAACCCAGGCCATTCATTTTCCTCTCGCTATTACACCAAAGTCCATAACATCACAGATGAAAGACAGAGAGGGAAACTCACATTAATGGTCAATTAGAGCCTTACAACGCCCCGTGATAGGGTTCAGAAAGAGGAACTGGTACTGTATGGAGAAGTCAGGAGTGGTGGAGAAGTGTGTGAGGGTGGTGCAGGACAGGAATGAAAACAGTGAGACAGCGGTGAAGTATGAGGTAAGAATGACAGATGGGTTAGGGCAGGGGTTGGGTTACATTAGGGATCAGCTCT